AGTGAGTAATTCCAAAACTCTGATATGCAGAGATGACCGATAGACCAATGACCCAAAAGCTCCTGCATGTCTAGATATACACCACACATATACACCCAATGAAAGGTATAAAGGACAGCTGTCAATCCAGTTCTGTTTGTGGTGACAAAGAAAAATGTTGGCAAGCATAGGACCCAGTGGGGAGCCCATAGCAATGGCATCTATCTGCTCTTATAAAGCATTGTTAAAGATGAGAAGAGAGTGTTTAGTCGAGAGTTCAAGCATAGATTTAATCAGATTTTTACTAATATTTTCCTGGACAAAAACCATTAATATTGCACTGTCTAATCTCTTCGCTAATAACATTCTTGTCAATGGTCTTTCTAAATCTGATTTAAATGTATGCTTGAACTCTCAACTAAAGACTCCCTTCTTCTCTTTAACAATACTCTTATGAGCACACAAATGGTGTTGCTATGAGCTCCCAACAGAGTCCTACACTTGCCTACAATTTTCTCTGTCACCATGAACAAAAGAGAAGCATCCGTGAATTAGGAGCACCCCTAGTTGAGAAGAAGAAAGATGAGATGTCTCTGTCCAACCACTAGATGAAGTCCACATGAAGAGAAGAAGGAAGATAGATAGAGGCATCTAATGGATCCCAAATGAGGTTCCACTGATCTAGTAAAGCCTACTGAAGGAGTCACAAAGAAGCCCATATCCCCAAAGGAGACGGAACCTCTCATGCAGTTGAAGAAGTAGAAGACGTAATGGCATGGCTGAAATGGAAATTGAAAAATACCCCGAAATGAACAAGGAATTGAGTGGGGGAGAAAAAGGATTTCTCCACCTCGACAAGCCAACCTGCTATGCAGCCTCTTGAAAAAGAAACTGAGAGTGAAGGAAAGGGGTGGCAAGCAAAGGAGCCAGAAGCAGCCATTTGTCCACATAATGGTGGAGAATGAAGGCCTCTGGAACGGAAAAGACAAGTGAAGGCATTAAGAACCTGATAAAAACATAGGAAACCAAAGCTAGCCAGAACAGAAGAGCCCAGAATTGGTGGATACAACTATGATGAACAAAATGAAGAAAAAATCAGGATGCTGAGGAGATGGAAATGTAGAGGTAATCATTCAAGATATCTAACTTCATCATCCAAAGACCAGGAGTGAAATCCCATTAATGAGAGAGGTAAGACTCCATGATGAGTCAAGGAAGGTACAGGAAACAGTTCAAGGAAGACAGATCATTTACAGGGCACCAGCTCCCAGTCTAGCTGGGGACTACAAACAAACAGGAATAGAAACCTGACTAAGAAAAATCACCCATTCTACAGAAGCCTGGTGAAGAAGATCTTGAACTGCATTGACAAAATGAAAGTTGCAAACAGACTCCTAAGGAGATGGGAAGGATATTGGAAGAGGTGAACTGAAAAAAGAACAAGCCCTTAGGAAAACTTGCATAACCCAAGGGTCTGTGGTGAAGGCTCTCAAACAGTGGCAAAGTGCAAAAGCCTGGCACCTACCACATAGTCCCCAGGAACTCCAAGGTCGCTTAAAGGCATTGATAAACAAGCTAATGGGGAACCTCAAAAATGCATGGAGCAGGCTACCAATACAGAAGTTACAATGATGCAGCTCACATGCACCGTATTAAATAACATAAGGGTGACCTTTGGTCTGTTCAAAGTAACTTGTCTTGGCTGTATTTTAGTCGAGAAGTATTTTGTAAAATATAGTCTTATTTCAATTATTATACATTATATATGTATATAGATTATTGCTATTTTGTAATAAGTTCTTAAACTTATTTTTTTTAAAACAGAAAACAGTAAAAATGAATTGAAGCAAACAATTATCTCTTCTAGTTACGACCTTTGTACTTGTTTGCTGCTTGACGTAGGTTGCTGAGCCTTTAAAACTTTTGCACGTACAGGATATGAAACAAAATATTTTTTTTAGGTTTTATATATACTTTTGAATGACTAGAAAATCATAAATTACTACATCACTACTACATAATTCTATTATAATCTATCAAACTTAGTAACTAAGCTGTATTTGGGTCTTAAAAAGATATGAAATTTCGAGCAGACTAAAGACACAACCTACCTCATTATATCTTTGTATAAAAGAAAGAAATGGTGCTAGGTGCGTTAGAAAGGCTGAGAAAACCACTAGGGGACATTCTGAGCTTCCGGTTGGTTATTCATGTCATATATAGAAGTAAGTGTATATAAGGGAGCGTTTCCAAAAATGAAAAGATGTGATCAGGGTGCCATCATGTTTGATTTATTATACGAGCAATATCTCAGCAAATAGAAAAGATAAGACCTTCTTATTTTATATTCTAGCTTGTCAACATCTGTAATTTGAGTTTCTAATTCATATGAGACTATAGACTTAGTATTTGGACTTCAATAACATCTAATCTGAAACAGTGCTGCATTCAACATACAAAATGACAAACAAAAATCAATGTTTATCTGTGTTTTTTAATATTTACTTTTAAATCAACAAATTAAGTAATGTATAGTTCTAAAATTTGAATTATAATCTATAGTTTGACACCAAACTCATTGACATAAATTCATTCAATAAAAATTTGAATGCGAGTCAACAAATGCGATGAGACCCATCTAGAAAGTGTTAATGTATTTAAAGAAATCCTTTTCAATTAATGTTTACATTTTCAGTCAACTTTTTTTCTTATACTTTTTATTTCCTAATTTTCCATTTGATCAGCTCTCTTGATCTTCTATTAATATTGCAAAGGATATCTTTACTGCACATGACACAAGGTTTTAGTATCTTACATTCAAAATTATACAAGGCAATATTTAAAGAATTCCTGAATTTCCCCTAGTGTGATCCATGTGACATTTTTTCTTAGCATGTCATCTTCGCTATTTTATTCACAAACCTTCAAAAAAGTACAAAAGTAAATATAAATTACTTTCTTTTGGATCATCATTGCTCAGACAAACCATAATTTTTTGTCTTCAATTAGAAAATAAGACCCCCTCCTGCCACACCTACCTCTCACATCCTCTCTTTCAGTATTTGTCAATAGTTCTCTCTCACGTTTAATTATATATTACCTGTAGCCAATAGAAAGTCAAGGTTTTCATCTATCAAATGAAGTATTACATAACGTTATGTTCCGAGCAGTTAAATATCAATTTCACTCAGAGTACCAACATTGTTCCCGTGAGAAAGTTAATGACTAGCTTTCGATGAATTTGTAACGACTCTTGTCGCATAGTTAGAAAGTCAGAAAAATTTTGAGAGGTAAAGGAATTTGTCTACTTTTTACATGTTATTAGTTTATATTCTTTGGTGCATTATTTAATTAAATAAAAATTATTAAGTGCATTACTATCATTAGTATAAAAAATTAAGGTTAACTCTCGACAAACAACAGCAAGAAAAAAGAAGATTGGTTAAGTATTTTATTTATTGTTTTTCATGTTTATTCTTTATGTCTAATTATAAAAGTAACTAAAGTGTAAAAAATAGAGATCCTTTTAGGTTAGTTAAGATTAGTTTAGGTAAAACAAATAATAATAATATTATAATAAAAATGTTTCACAAGGCACACATGCGAGCAACTCGTAGCAACTCATGGGTAAAGTAATTCATTAGCATAACGTAAGCTGCATGTTCCCTGAGTGACTTACAACTTATAATAGTGTAGATAGAAGATAGACATCATTCAAAGGACAATAAAAAAATTTAATTTAATTATAAATAGATATATACTGTTACGAACTTAGAGCTACTTAAGATAAACAAATGTAGTTTCATGTTACAATATAAAGTCATTCTACAAAGAAAAAAGGATAATTTTGGTTTATTTAGATTTTTTTTTGTAGTTATGAGGTCAGTTGACTTTTCCAATTCCATTTTGAGATAGGGTAGAGAAAATAACATATAAGCTATAAAGTTTTACTGAAAAAAAACGTTTGAAATGCATTTAGGAGGTGTTAGGGATTACACAAAAAATTTAGATTTTTGAGATGAGGAAAAGCATTTTTAATTTTAACATGAAAATTACTTTGCACACAGACTATTCAAAAGAAATACTCAATATATTCATGGACAAAGCTATATTTTATTTTATTAAAAATACTTCACTAAAAAATATGGTTTTTTGTATGTGAAAGACTTCTGAAAGACTGCCAAATTTTTGTGAAGATATACCCACTATATTAAAAGTTAGAAGTATTAAATCTATAAAGACTAAATGAGTACAAAGAGGTCACATGATCAGTCAAATTGATCAAGCCCATGTTGAGAGAGTTAAATTTCTTTTATTTATAATGCTTTTCTTTAATATTATTATTTACAGCCTTTGTGAGCCAACCTGATTTGTTACTTGCAGTCAATCCCTTTTAGTCTATAAGGAACATGTCTATCTTGAATATGAACGGAAACATGCCTATGTTAACAAAAAACTTGTTTACTTGAGCTGGTGTAAAACTCAGATGTGCACAAGGTGTTTGTTAAAATGTCTTTAAAAATTGTCTATTTTTTACAACAAAATTATAAGAAGTTTCTGAAAAAAAATGGTACATACAAAACAACTTATACTTCTTAAACATTAATTTTTTAAAAATTGTCTACAAACAATTTTAATCTAATAATAAATGGAGCAGAATGAAATAAGTTTGACTAGCAATATACTGAACTGAGAAAGCTTTAAATAAAGTTTGCCTTGAATTTAACATATATAACAGAACAACTTCTCAATTATTAATAACTTTCCTGCAATAACGTTAAAGAAAGAAAACTAGATAATTTCAGAAGAAAGAGAACTGGTGTATTATACAAAGTGAAACTGCTCCTGAAGTGTGTTCCATGAGTAAATATAAACTCAACATGTATAGAAAAAAAATCACCCCAACCTTATCCTAATTTAGCTAGAGCTTAGCCCACAAGTAACACATCATCTTGTTAAATAACACCCATTACTTAGAATGTTTATTTCTGTTTAGTTATGCCTATGTTAAGTCAACTCACCATTCACTTGTTTGGAGGATAATAAACTTGAACATGTCTTGATACTGAAAAACATTAATTTTATATGTAGTCAATTTATTTCTGCACTAAACTAAAAAACTAATATTTTTAAACCACCTAATACATGTTTTTAATTTTTTTTTACGGTCTTATTTTCCAAGATTTAGTAGTTTCAACTACTTCTAAAAAACTATTTTCAATATTTAAGTTACAACAATTAAATACCTTTTTCACATCAGATCCAAATTATTCATAAATATTATCTTACATAAGCTTAAAGGCATGCACTTAGATAGGCTTATACACTAAGTCTAAAGCTGAAATTATACATACATCATAAAATGCTATAAAATACAATTTCTTCCATAGTTAGTTTCAAAGTTATTTATAAATATTTTTATCTCTTTTTGGGCCAGAGGGATTTCACTGGTATCATTTTATTGATTTCTTTTCTCAGTGGAAATACTTTACTAATTGCATGAAATTTATCACAAGGTTAATAAATAGTCTAGTTTTGGTTTTAACAAAATTAATATAATTTTTTACCACAATTTTTAGTTTATGAGATTTCTAAAATTTTGTTGTGATGCACTGTTTTTGAAAAACATTAAAATAGTTCATTTTGTCTAATAATTTCATTTTTTTATTGTTGAAAGTTTCACCAAATATTTAGTAACATATTTCTTTTGATATTTTATATTGTTGATTGCAGTAATCACCACCTTCACCTACAATACAAGTCATTAAAATCACAGCAAAAACTGAATAAGATTTATTGGTGACCTAGAAGCCAACTTTTCAAAACAAGAGTACCATTATCTTTGTCAGGTCAGGTAAAAGAATACAATGTTAAAATCATTAACCAATAAATAGTTTTTAAGAACAAGCACTTGCCCTAAAAAAAAAAGAATTTACATATGTTTCAGTGTACTATGGTTGGGACTTGTATACCCTCATAATCATTTACACACCAATAATGCCATCTAGGCTTAAACTACCAAGAGTTACAAAACATCTGCCTGGTACATTAATATTTTCTTAAATAGAAAATGTATTTCCAATAATACTTACCACCTCTCACACTT